AAAAAAAATAAAAAGATTAAATTAGATAAGGGTCGTCAAAGTCAGGTTAGAAAAAGCATTGAACGCACCGCAAAGTTGGACACAATGACGGGAACGGGCAGTGCAATGGTGAGCACACCGGCCAGTGCACAGAGGGCGCCCACAAACATGCCGGCGTACGTTTTGGGGACCATGTCGCCTAGATTATAAGATGAGATTGTTTAGATCTATTTTTCAAAAATTTCAAAGCCCAGCTCACCATAGCCAACGGTGGTCATGGTGACCAGCGCCCACCACAGCCCGAGCGGTATCGAGTTAAAGTCATTCTCCGGATTGGACTGTATCCTCTCGGCGTAGTACACCAGACTGGCGAAGATGACGATGCCGAGGACGAGGAAGAAGACGAGCAGTATCAGCTCGGTGGCGCTCGCCTTGAACGTCTGAATGAGAATCTTGAGGCCGGCCGAGTGGCGCGTCAGCTTGAACAGCCTCATGATGCGAATGATGGAGAAGAACTCGAGAATGTCCGCGTTCTCCAGGTGCGAGTAGTAGCTCTGCAGCAGAAGGTCAATGTAGAAGGAGAGCGTCGCGGTGATGTCGATCAGGTTGACGGCGCCTAAAATCAATAAAAAAACTGTTTAAAACTGAAATGATCTTATCAACCCCTAACACCTCCTCACCCTTAATAAAAATGAGCCTATTGGGCGCACAGGTCAACCTGGTGATAATCTCAATGGTGAACCAGGCATTGCAGACGCACTCAATGTAGAAGAAGGCCTCATGCGGATTGGTCTGGTTCTTGTCGAGGACCCAGGCGCTGCTGTTCCAGCTGGTGAGCACGGTCACGTTCGATATCACAGGCACGCGCATGTTGGGGTGCGTCTTCAGGCAGAAGCTGACGATGGAGACGCAGATGAAGAAGACGGAGAGGAGGCCGACCACCTTGGCCGCATTGCTGCTGTACGGCTCGTCGGTGAGGGACCAGAGCTTCGGTTTGAGGCGCTGCCACCAGCTGAGCGTCCCATTGAGGTAGTCATCCTCCATGCCAAACTTGCGGGCAATCTCCTCGTCTGACGGCTTCTCCGTGTCCAGGTCGAGGCGATCGAGGACGGCCAGCGTCTCCTGGGTGTCTCGGTGCTGCGTGTACGTCTTCCAACAGCACGGTTCTACCTGGTTTGAGTCGAGGCCCCAGAACTCCAGTTCCTCCTCAAAAAGGGGCCCGCAGACGTCGGTAGGGTAGTGCAGCTTTCCGGTGCGGTAGTAGTTGAGAATCTGCCCAAAGACGCCCGGGTGCCGGTCGAAGAAGTACTCATCGAGGACGGGGTCGTAGTTGGCCAGCGCCTCCGTCAGGCGGGACAGCCGCGTGGCGGGGATCTTCTTGAGGGTCGCCTTGTAGGTCTCATGGCGGATGCCGCCCACGTTGAGGATGACGCGATTTTCGGTGTCCCCCTGGCTGTTCATCGTGGCACTGAGGATGAGTAGGGCTCAACTACTGGCCACTTCTGCTGGTGATAGTGATGATGCCCTCTTCTTTGATGATGGCCGTTGCTGCTGATGCTGAAGGACTGGCTGGCAAATATTGGCTTGAATAGTGGTAGAAAAAATGATGAAAAAAATGGTGGTCAAAAGAAGAAGAAGAAAAAAAGAAGTTGATGATGATGATGACAGTTTACAAAAAATAAAGAAGAAGAAGTAGAGTTATTTGGCAGAGTGAGTACTGGCTGGCTGGCAAGTTGAAGGGAAATTACTCTGTGGAATGCTGCCGTTGCCGCTGCCGTTTTTGCTGTTGATGCTGCTTCTGGTGCAAGACACCAGTGATAATGTAGTTTCGGTAGTGGTAGTGGTAGAAGTAGTAGAACAATGCTCGAGCAGGGTTTCTCCTACTAAAGATTCTCCACTACGACATGGTCAGTAAGTTGGGCCGGCGGAAATGCTTGGTCGCCAGTGAAAGCAGGGCAATTGCTCCTTTTTGGATGCAGCCACCACTTCTTTTGCAGCTTTTGTAGTGCATTGAAGTTGCTGTTGTTGGTGCTGCTGTCGCATCTGATGATCAGAGTTTTGGTCAGAGTTTCGGTGCACTTTTTTTCTCTTGTGCGCCACTGTGTGTGCGTGAGTGTCGGGCTGCTGTTTAGTTGTTGCTGCTGCTGTTGTACAAAACTTTGGTATCTGAGTTAATATTGTTCGTTTATCGTAAGGACAGAGGAGCTGAAGGAAAAGGAGGCATCGCAGGTAGAAAAAGGAAGTCCAAGGTGAGAAAGAGAGAGAGAGAGCAGATGAGAAGAAAATGCGCTGAGAGGAAAAATAGTTGCAAAAGTAGTAGTAGTAGTAGAAGACGCAAATGGCTTTCAATTTTTCAGCTAACGGTCCATTTAAGTTAAGGCAATTACGATTGGAGCAAAGTGGTGGAAAAAGAGAAGGAGGAAAAAGAAAGGGAGGAAGAAAATGGCATCATACAACGTTTTGTAGCGTGCTGCAGCAGCACTGTTGGTCTTCTGTTTTCAATTGGAGAGTATCGTGTGGAGGATGGCCAGAAAAAAACAGCAGAGAAAAGTGCTCAGAAAATGTTTGCAACAAGGAGGACGAGCACTTTAAAGGTGAGCCAAAGGTGGTGATGATGCAAGCTGACCATACTGAAACAGACTGAGTGGACTGTTCAGTCAGATTGCATCGTCTTGGTTAGCTCTTCATTTTTTGGGAGGACAAACACAAACACATTTTACTTTTTTCTGCTGTCTGCAAGCGGCGTAATGGGCCGATTTGAGTTGTCCGCTTCAATTGCCACCACCTTCAAGAGTACCGTGCTTCTAAGGATTCTTACGGTAGCTGCTCCTCGATTCGGTTTTTGTTGGTGCTGACTTTGCTGCTGGTGGTGCACGGCTCGCCGCGCCGTCCCAGCACATCTCAGCATCTCTGCACTTGAGGGTCATATCACAAATGGCCTGTAAGAA